TCACTCATGATTTCAATTTTGAAAAATACATATCTAATAATTGAATTCATAAGTCGATTAAAGCGAGACCACTATAGAAAACCTGGAAGCATCAGATGGCCATTTCGTCCTAGTATGGGACTCCTTAGCAGTGCTCATCCACGATCCCACACTCGGGAGTGGAACCCAAGACATTCAGTCTCAACCACGGACGCTTAACTTCTAGACCATTAAGCCGTCATCCAACAATGTTAATGTCTTACTTCAACTAGACCACAAAATAGCGCCACCGTTTACTATTTTCTTTAGTGAGTAACTGCCTCACAACAGACACATTTGGATTCCACTGGTCACGATTTATCACTAGAACTCTAAGAAATACATCTTGAAACTAGTCACTAGCGAGTAGATAATGATGGAAAATCTAATTTCCCACCGTGGTTAAACTTTAATCGACTTATGAATTCAACAATTAAATTACTACAATCTCCATCAATCCACCTTTCTGATAATTAAATTATCTATTAATCAATATTTTCATAGTTGAAATCATAATTTCAACAAATCTCACTGAAAAAAAAACGCAAACCAGAATTATAGGCTTCCTATTCTCCTTCTTGAGGAGTAACAGGAGTAAGTAATATGTTTATTAAATTTTAAATGATCAATTAGAAACTTTTTTTTAATTTTATCTTCTCACAAATAGAGCCAAATTGAATTTTTTTTTTAATTAAAAATTTGTAACTTTAATATCATATTCAGAATAGGGATTAAAATAATAAATTTTAAAAATATATTAAATTATCTTAAATCGATAAATTGTTCTTCTCAAACGATAAACAAAACAAAAAAATTTAAGGATAATATTGTTTTTTATTTATGGGGGTAACAATTTTGACTGAATATTTAATTAAGAATTTACGTAGTAATTTAATAAATGTACAATAAATTTACAATTCAGTTTAATATTAGATAAAAGAAATGGGGAAAAAAATTCTTTCGACTATTCTTTAAGGAGGACGAAATATTCCTTTTTTTTAAAAAAAAAAAAAACAAACTTATTTTTATATTGATTCAATAGTTCTGTAAGAAAGAAAAGGATGAATTCAAACATACGTTGTATATATATATTTTTTCATATATAGTTGAAATCATGAGTCAATTGAAGCTAGACCAACATGGAAAACCTGGAAGCTCTGGACGGCTGTTTCGTCCTATTGTGGGACTAACTCCTCAGCAGTGCGCATCCACGATCCTACCGGCTCAGTGATCTATCGGTTAAATGCTCACGGGCGAGACTGATAGGTCCTGGGTTCGAAACTCGCGAGGCTTGATCGTGGATGCTCACTGCAATAGGATGAAAAGGCAGTTCAGTGATTGCAGGTTCTCTATGTAGGGCTAGCTTCAATTAACTCATGATTTCAACTATATATAAAAAAATTACTAAAAATCTCCACAAAGAACCCCATATATTGTATATATATTGACAGGTTATAAAACGAAACTTATTTTCAAGCATAAGTTATGTCTAGTCTTGGAATTTCAATATACGGATTCTCTATCATTTAAGACTTATCAATTGAATAAAACTTGGATCCCGATGTTCTTCACCTCGGGAATCGGACCATGTACATTCCATTTTATAAGCTAAATGTTTTATTTATTCAGCTACTGTTTAGAGATTATCTTTATTTTATTGTTTGTTAAGTTTTTAATGATCTGTTGTTGATATTTAGCTAATGAATCTTAAATAGAACGAAAAGACTGTCTTCAATTTCAATACTCTTGATGATCCATTTTTCCATAAAAAAGTTGTAACAAAATGTCTATATGTAGGTAATCCACACAATATTCACGTATTTTAGCAAACACTGGCAAAAATTCAGTCAAGAATACCAACTACCAATGCTGATAATGATATTGATGTGAAAACATTGTAGAATCGGACAAATTTTGAGTGGAATTTAAAAATAGGATCACTTAGTTATATCCTTCTTGTATCAATTTTTCTAACGATTAAAATAGACATGATAAGAAAATGTGTTGTTCTAACCAGTAACTACTTTATATGGTTCATCTACAATAGTCGAACTAATTTTAGGTTTTTACACTTTTTACAAAAAGATATAACGACTGTCACTTCCAAAGCTGACAAAAGCAATACAATATAAGTCATGACCAGAATCACTGTCCGAAATTCAGATTTCAACGCATTAAAGTATTACAAACACATAATTCGGTTATTAATCTTAAGGTTTGTTCAGTTTATTCAGTCAGTCACAACGTAGAACTTCGTACGTACGTACATCAGTTCGAGTTGCCATACCACATTAGCACAGAAATCCAGTTGTCGATTCGAATCCCATAGTGCTAGAAGGAGTAAGAGAATAAATATTATGTGAAAGATTAGGGTTTGAAGATGTGATTAAAGGAGTATAATACAGTGAAATAAATTCGGAAAGAGAAAAAGGATAGGGATATGAAGAATTCAAAAGATTAGAATTTGAGAGATCACAAAGAGTGGATGCACATTCGCCATTGCAAACCATTTTGAGACATGTCATTCAAGGTCTCCAACCATCGATTGCTATCATCTCGCGAATCCCAACCAGGTAGTCTACACCTACCAACATGGCTCAGTCCACTTGTCAGTGACTTCTTGGATTTGTGCCATGTATTGGTCTGGCCGCCCCTAGCTTTCTTCCAACCTCCTCCTACACCATGAAACATTGCACGTCGGGGCAGTCGGTGGTTGGGCATACGTAACACGTGTCCCAGCCATCTCAACTGATGAAGTTTTACTACTTCATCAATCGATTTGCCATCCTTATCTAGTACCCGTTTCCTGACAGCTACATTACTTACCCGGTGGTCCCAAGATATACGAGCAATGCTTCGAAGACACCTATGATCGAATACTAGTAGCCTACTAATATCGTCTACGCTTATCGGCCATGTTTCTCCAAGGTATATTATCTAAGACTTTCAACTGATCAAGTTTCATTATGAAAATCATTAAAAACTGGAAAACAGTATATAAGCAATGATGGATAGTGGCTAGCAGTAGAATCCAGGACGCGCGTTTCGTCCAATTCGGGACTCGTCAGCTGGATGTACCTGAATCTCAGAGTTGATGTTCACTCTGGGACTCGAACCCAGTACCGTTCGTTTCGAACTCCATGTATTTTATTTCATAAAATCAATATGCTGTTCCAAAATATAATTCCACTGACGAAGATAGGTGTTATATCTCCTTATAACATCTTCATAAAAAATATTGTCAATAATGAAGAGCCTGTTCAGTCAGTCTAATTACCTATTTCTCACTCTGCTTTTTGATATTTTTAGGATTATGCTCATAAAATTCAGTCAACAATGAAAATTTCACAACGAATCATTGAATAACTGTCCTGTTTATTTAATATAATCTCATGGGTTGTCATTCAGGCTCCGGATAATTCAATGATAACATTCCTGATAGCTGTTCTGGATACGAAAGATTAAAATAGTTTTGAGACTACTAGTCACTTATAAATTTGGAGATGCTCATTATTTATGAATTTGATTTTAGCCACCTAAACGAGTGAAAAATTTATCTTAATTCGCTATTAAGAGAGAACCTAGCAGTTCTTTTTCTTCTGAAAACACCAATTTCTATTCAAATCAATCTAGTTAATACTGCCATTTTCTATAAAATAAAAAAAGATTATTTTTAAAGTTGACTACTTTAATATTTGTTTAGTAGTAACCAGAGATCTCAGAAGAATGAATTGGTGGAGAAGTTTTGTTACTCAGATGAATGATTTTGTTGGAGTTTTGTTCTGTGACCAAACCATCCAGCTAAAAAAACAAAACTCTAACAAAATCTAAAGAAAATTTCTGGAATGTTTTAGTGAAATGATGAAATTGGTGTCTTGATTTCCATTCTTACAATGCTTTCATAAAATTTATTGCTTATTATTGCTAACTAAATCCAATTTTATTAAATCCAAATAGTTGAGAAGTAAACCCGAAAATTTAGTTCGTTGTTGTCCCTGATGGTAAAATGTAATTGAATGAACACTTTTTTCACGACTTTCCTAATTGTTAGGATATGTTTAAAAACTTTTTTCCTTCTGAGGATGCTTTCTATGTCTACATTCAATGAGCGCTGTCATAAGTTTATCCAGTACAATAAATTTCAAGTTATGTTTTCAGATTTAAAACATTGACTTAACCATAAATATCTGGAAAATTTTCCAAAGTTTACTTTGTATTTCTTCCAAGTCAATTATATTTTCAAAAAGCTGTACTAAAAGTTTTATGTTTCAGATAATCAGGGTATCATATTTATTACTCTCCGTCCTTGGTTTTCCTTAAATTTTTGACATCGTCGCTGTGTAAACCAAAACATGAGACTGAGGACAATAGAATGTTTCTATGGCTTCATGATCGTTTGTGTTAAATATGTAGTACGGAAAAACATATCTTACCCTTGCTAACCGTGATGTATAAAAGTTAACTTATTGAAAATTAGATCCGATATAACGCTAATAACTCTCAAACGAAGAGATTACATCAATGGGTTTAGAAAGACATGAACTTTTAATCCGAGATCTATGAGATGGCCATGATTAGTTGATAAGTTATTCTTTATCTAACAGTCATTCTGAATGAAGTACCGACAAAAATATTCAACCAAACCAGCAAAAATAATCAAGAGTGCAAATTAAGTTATCAGAATGTCAATCACATGATTATTAAAAAATCATATATTGTAGCTACATTCAGGTGTTATTCAACAATATGATAAGTAAATTCTTCATTGTATGATTCATGAATTATGAGTTGTCATTATTCACTATGAACTACATATATTTTAAAGATCACATCGTGTTACTTACAAAACAATTAAGTAGTAAAAATAACTTTATTAAAATAGTTGCCAAATATAACAAAAAGTTCTGTAGTCAGTGAAAAAATAAGGGTTCAATTAATAGAATCACTTTGTGTCATATATATATATATATATATATATATAAGTGCATAATTTAAAACAATTAAAATGTTCTCATCTGTAAACCAAAACACTTAATAATACTATATTGGCTGTATCATCTTGTCTAATATATTTGATTAGAGAGAAATTGCAAACACTACGACAATACAATAAACGTGATTGTTTTCCCATTTCACTTTACAGTTACCTAGAATAGAAGAAGCAGTAAAACAGGAATTTATTTGTGGTTTTAAGAATAATAATTGATTTATGTCGAAATAAAAAATCCTTGATAACTGATTGATTAAACTGAAAAAAAAATCAACATAATACTCTGTTCTTTATAGATTCAGAAAATGATATTAAGATGTGCAATCAATGATTTTGAATAAGAATGTTTTCTAATATATAGTAGAGTTATTGCAGCAACTACATCACAGAATTTAATGAAGACTATTAAGCTTAAATTCACTTGGTATTATTGGCTTGAATCTTCCCTTTGATGTTCATGACTACAATTGATCGGTCTCTTATTGGCATATGTGCATATTGCATATATTTCTTCGATAATGCCTTAATTGACAAGCATCCTAAGCAAAGATGGATGGTGGATAGCGGTGGAATCCGGAATGTGCGTATGTGCGTATGCACATGTGCCTGTAAGAGACTGATCAATCTCAGTCCTAAACATCAGTGGAAAGTTTCAAACAAACTTAATCCCAATGTACAAGCCAGAAGGTATGAGGACCGAATAGCTAAGTGGATAACGTGATGGTTTTTGAAGCGAACGGTAGTGGGTTCGAGTCCCAGAGTGAACATCAACTCCGAGATGCAGGTACATCCTTGTGACAAGTCCCAAATAAGACGAAACTGGTGTTTTGGATTCCACTGCTAGCCGCTATCCATCTTTCACTATTAAGTTTATTATGTGAATAATCGTCAGACGATACATGATCTTTAAACTTTTCAAATGCATTAATAGTTGAGAAGCTTTACAGGTTACTGAAATCTAAATATCACACTTTTAAGGACTCTATGATTTTTAAACCGATTACAGAATAAAATTGACTATAAAAATTTGGAGACTAATTATGTTAGCATCGAATCACAATAGACTTGTTTGTATCCTATTTTTGAAGGCCAACACTAAAGTCAGTAAATCACACATAGTCATACATAGTTTTATTCTTTACAAGACCAATCAGCAATAACATTCTAATTTTCTAAATGTATTTGATTAAAATTACTATTCAAAGGTTTTGTTGATAAGTAAGTTGAATCCATCAATTTTAACTGTCCGAATTTTTCTAAGATTGAACTCGGAAAAACTCCTGCAAAACGTCTTACCATTACTAAAAAAATCATAATTTTTATTTAAAATTTTTAGAATCAGAAGGAGATTTGTTGAGATTTCAGTATTTTTTAAAGTTGAAATCATGAGTCAGTTGAAGCTAGACCACCATCGAAAACCTGGAAGCACTGGACGGCCGTTTCGTCCTATTATGGGACTCCTCAGCAGTGGATCAGTTGAAGTTAGAAAATAACACCGTTAGATGCCAGCTCAGTGGTCTATCGGTTAAGGGCTTCGGCTCGAGACTGGTAGGTCCTAGGATCGAATCTCGCGAGGGCGGGTTCGTGGATGCGCACTGTTGAGGAGTCCCACAATAGAATGAAACGGCCGTTCAGTGCTCCCAGGTTTTCGACGGTGGTCTAGCTTCAATTGACTCATGATTTCAACTTGGAAAAATTTTTAGAATTATTATCCGTAATTAAAACTAAGAGTCTACGTAATAAATATATCTGTGGATTTATAACTTGTGGAATGAATTTTATATCCCGTCATCATCTATTTGGATGGTTTACATGTAATACGAAAAGTTTTTTTCGGGATAGTGAAATAAAATGTGACATAGATTTCGTTACTCTTGATCTTATACATGTGAATAAACCTATAGATCATGGCTAATGGTTGTATTGTAGCAAACAACAATACGAGTCGGGACAATTGAATGTATTTAGACACAAATTACAGACTATCTCACTAAAATCTGATAACCATACAGTAAACAGTTAATTTGCAAATTAACAATCAATTGTCCCAATCTTAACTGTTCCTTCTGTAAATATCAATCCATTTTCTTTAATTTCATTGTTTATGCATTTTCCTACAAATTCCGCTTTCTTTCAGTTCTTTCCTTATCGGTCTTCTGCCAAAATACATTCTATGTCTGACCATCACGTTATACTACTTATATGGATATGAGTAGACCACAATACAGTATGAATAATCTAAATTATAATTTATGGACTTTACGGAATACAAGTTAAAAATGATCTCACTTAATTAGATGCATTCATTGTTATATTAACCTCATTACTATAATCTGACTTCAGTAAATTGTCTTGATGTAATTGTTCTCATTATGGTTAACCAAATATCTAAACAAACCAAACACCCCACTAAAATACAATAACACACCGGAAACCCAACAAGAATAATATAAAAAACAAAAAAACCCCACAAAAATCGCCAACTCCAACCAATAAAAGGATATATCTTACAAAACAATTTGAACAAACAGTCATATGACATCAGATACTAAACCATCTAATACTATTTTGATCAAAACCCTAAACCTCCAAATAACAACCCTAGAACAGCATACCATACAAGAACATCATAATAAAAATTACAACCAAAAAAAAAATAAGAAAAAAAAATCACTTTTTTTTTAACAGTTGATAATGAACTTACCATCTTTACCTGTATCCCAATAACATGATGAAGCACTGTAAACTCCAGATCCAGGTTTTTGAGTTATAGTACAATTGACTTTAAAAAATTAAAAAAAAATATTTTTTTTTGGAATAAATTATACTTTTTTAATTTATAAAATGAAAATTACCAACATATTTAAATGGTTTGCCTAATTTTACTAAATCACTTCTACAATTATCTACAATAGTTCTAGCCCATTCTTTAGCTGATTCATTTGTGTATGGATTAGTTCCAATGATATTTTGTATACACTAGAAATTAAAAAAAAAGGATTATTTATTTATAAATCAATTATATTCAGTGTTACCTTTTTAATTAAACTTTCTGCTTCTTCTTGTGAAAATTTAAACTGAAAAATAAATGAAAAATTATTAAATAAAATTAATGTTTATAATTAAGAATAGATGGTTGTTAGTAGTAGAATCCAGGGTGTGCAATTCGTCCTATTTGAAGCTCAGTAGCTAGGTGGATAAAGTAATGGTGTTTAAAGGGAATTGTACTTGGTTCGAGTCTGAAAGTGAACACCAACACAGGGATGCAGGTACACCCAGATGACGAGTCCGAAATCGGACGAAACGCGTGTTCTAGATTCCACTGCTAGCCACTATCTGTCTTTACTTATAATGTTTGTCAATTAAGGCAATATAGAGGTAATATACACAGTATGCATATATGCCAATAAGAGACTGATAAATTGCAGTCATGAATATCAAAGGGAAGATTCAAGCAAATAATACCAAGTTAATTTAAAATTAATAGTATTTTAATTTTTATGTGAAATGTTGACTAATGGCATGAAGCGGATATATTATTTTTTTGTAATAATAAATGTAGTGTTTCAATACATAGTTATTTATTCACTCTAACAATTTTCAGATGAATAGATACAACACAAATTAATAGAAGATAAGTGTTTCTAAGATTATTAAAAGATACTATTGTAATATGGATTACTTATATCCACATAAGTAGTAAATGACAATGGTCAGGCACTTAATGTATTTCAATAGAAGATCTATAAAGAAAGAACGGAAACGGAAAGTAATTGGTATGAAAATGCATGAATAGTGAAGTCAGAGACAATGGACTGATATTTGCAGAAAGAACAATTAAGATTGAAACAATTGGTTGTTAGTTAGCGGAGATGGATAGTGGCTAGCAGTGGAATCCAGGACGCGCGTTTCGTCCTATTTGGGACTCGTCAGCTGGATGTACCTGCATGTTGATGTTCACTCTGGGACTCGAACCCAGAACCTCGCTTCAAACGCCATCACGTTATCCACTCAGCTACTGAGTCCTGATAGCCACTTACTTATGCAATGGGGTGAAGTTTCAACTCACTTAGTATTGATTGTTTGAATCTTCCCATTGATACATGCACATATGCCGATAAGAGACTGACCAGTTGTAGTCCTAAACATCAATGGGACGATTTAAACAAACAATACTAAGTGGACTGATTTTATCTTTAATAATAAACAAATACCCTGCTTTTACTATTAACAACTAGTTGTACTACCTTTATACAATTAAATTATGAACCATGCGTTTGTAATTCAAATAACTCACTCTATTCCCTAATTGCGTGTGACAAACAGAAGACTTAACTACTTTCGGTAAATCAGATGTTATAATGTGAAATCACCGTGAGACCATCATAAGACCAGTGAATGTGATTTAAAGCCGTATATATCTAAGTTTTTCTTAAAAAAAGAGGATTTTTTGTGGAAATTTTTAAGTAATTTTTTTATATATGGTTAAAATCCTGAGTCAATTGAAGCTAGACTACCGTGGAAAACCTGGAAGCATTGGACGGCCATTTCGTCCTATTGTAGGACTCCTCATCAGTGACTTCGTAATCATAAATCCAGTAATAGAGAAAGACGAGTATTTGAAGGATCAAATCAATGGATAATTTTAATTTAATCCAATTATGGTGATTAATAAAAAACGTGATGTAATCAAATTCAAGGGGTGTATGAGTTTTACATTAATCAAATAATTTACAACTTATTATTAGTATATATCATCTTAATACAAACTTAATTTACTCCTTTAGTCGATTATATTCTGTTCGAGTATTTTTAATAGTTGACAAACTAATTTTGATTGATAAAAATCCATAGTTTGTTTAACAACTAAGGAAATCTTAAAATGAACACACTTTATAACTAAATAGGTACAATGATGCTTTATCGCCATTTACTCCAAAAATATTAAGCCGTTGATTATATTTCCTTACTGATAAATAACTTTACCTTAAACATTGGGAAGTTGTATGCAAATGATAATAATTCCTTGACCTAAGAATTGTGTTACCGGGCACTCCCCGGCAAGCTTATCTATATACTTCAGTAAGCACTGCTACTGTGAGATTCAAACCATCATTAGTTAACGATATTGTCAGAATTCCTAATTCTATGCCTTTCTGGTGAGTTTTGTCTAATATAAAACCGATATCTTTGTACTACATATTGGTATCGTTGAAATATGATCACTTCTCTAAGTTTCTCAATAACACACTGAATTTTAATAGTGAGTGGTTGTATCCGATTGGGATGAAGCTTTGGAAGTAATTTTCTTAATAGTTGGCACTCTTTGGTGGACAATTAGCCTTAACTAGCGATTATATATAACATTCTTTCCTTTCTCGATTATGATTTATTACTTTTGAACAATCATAATACCTACATATGGTGTTTATATGAACCAATGATTCCTTTGTATTGATGACTGCTTGATTTTGAATTCCAATTACCATACATTCGTTCGTGTTTATGTAATACCTCTTGAGTTAAATTGTGCTGTTTCTGGGATTACTAGTTTATACTATAATTCAAATACTCTTAAATATCGCACTACAGTTTTCAGTTACAATAAAAATACATAACCTTTCTAGTACATCGTTTTATTCCCATAATAACATACCAGTTTCATATCCGTTCCTGTGTTACAAATATCAAGTAAACGTATTTATTAATTTGGACAAACTTAGCAATGATAACCCAGATTTTACAAGTATTTATTGTAGCTACTAGTGTGGTGTGGGCTACTTATATCGACATAAGTAGTATATATCGTGAGTGAGGAATAGAATATCTGGCAGCAGAAGATTTAAAAGATCGAGAAGAGAAGAACAGAAATAGAAACAGATTGGTGTGGAAATCCAGGAACAATTAAGCCTGAGATAATTAATCAACATTTTGTAAATAAAGTGTCAGAGTATGGTTTTCTGTATTTTACCAAACAACTTCGTAATACTTCTTAAATACTTAGACGGTTGTCCTCACTGATGTTCTTATTCACTACACTTTAACTACTGTAATCACGATTAGTAACTGTTCACATTTCCTAACAGATCCTAAACCTTGATCTTTATCATTTGGACAGAAATATTTGATTTAAAGGTGGATTCATTTCAGTACGATTGCTTTTAAGATGAGTTTACAAATTTACTATTCTAACTGCAATTATGAAAATCCTAAAAGTGTACTATACATATATAACGTAATGGATTTACTCTAATGATTTAGGACATATTTTTTTATAACTACTATGTATAGAAGAACATTTTTTGATCCTCTTTAATCATGTGGCACTTCAAAATTTCTTAAATCACGTGATTAGAATTATTCAATCACTTCCTGTAAATAGCATTGACCACATTTACACATAATAGTTTAGTAATCTATATTAAAATGTACTTTTCCAAAGAGTTAGTCTCTAGGAGTTGTGAACTTTTAGCACAATCTTGATTACAATCATATCTAAATCACTGATAATTTATAAGTTAGATTTGGTAATAATTAGATTCAATATCTTCTTAGAAGAAATGTCAACTACTATTTGCAACGTAAGTTCTGGAATATTTCTATACAATAATAACAATGATAAGAGAAAATCTGACTTAGTAAAAGACATAAGATGTAAGATGAACTGAACTTATTACTACAATGCCACTCCTTGCAATACATTTGATATCTTGCTTTATTAACTTCTTAGGAAGTTGCTTTCATAACTGAATGCAAACACCATCTTGTTTGCTTACTGAGTTATCTGTTCGCTTTGTTTCTTATTCACCTCTTTCTCAGATTTTCTCATACACACTGCCCTTCTTACTCACATACCCAGAGAATGAGATACATTTAGGTTAGATACAAACCTATTGAAATCTGAATATTGTACTTAAAATAAAAGAAGCCACAACGTCTGTTATCTTTATTTAAAGAAACTTGGTTGATATGATCCTTACAAGCACAAGAATTGTGATGGAAACAAATCATATTATTTCTCTTGTGTTTAAATCAATCTTTATGAAATAGTTATAACACATAACAAGATAAAGTTCGGAACTTGAATAGCCATAACCTTATCAGCTGTTACCTACTAAATTCAATTTGAATCAATGATAATCATTAACCTCTTTTCTGTTGAAAAAATCTTACTTAAACAATAATTAGTGAAGGTAAATTTTTGTTCTCAGTAAATAATCTAAGGTGAATAAAGACTTATTGTTCAGTTATTCTCTTTAGCTTAAGACTCTTGAGCAATGTGGATATAAATCGTACAAAATCAATATGATAATAAATATATTCCTTGTTATATCTTAATGAGTAAGAAAATAGTATTTCTGATGTTTCATGACTTAATGTAACATATAAGCGGCCTGCTTGGACATCTGGGCTACCTATTCCTAACATCTAGATATCTCAACAAATTATCTAATTTTGTTGGTTTTAATACATCATTATGATTATTAATCGCATAACCTATTCAGGTGCAATTCTGAAAAGTGTACAACCTTCCGCTGTACAAGTTATAAAAGGTCTAATCAGAGATATCGTGGTTTCTGGGAATATGCAGCGAAAAGATTGTACATCACTCAGATGTCGATTGACTGTACTGCTAACTTCTATCTGGTGATCACTAAATATTTATCGTCAGGATCGACCAAGAAATAAGAAATAGAGACTTCTTGAAATACACTGTCCTGAGAATTCTATATAGTACCAAAAATATAATATTGAATAAAGCTAATAATAATAAAATAATAAAAAAGCCATTTCTTCAGAGTGAACAAATAACCGAATTAAATTATGCATGTTTAAGTCGTACAAAAGACTAAAAGTATTGTGCTGGTTGGTTTAGTTCGGTTATTTATTTACTCTGAAGAAATTGTTTACATTACGTTACGAACGTCAGTAATACAATTTTTCTAGTCATTGGGATATAACGGAAAAAAGATATAGTTATCCTTAACTCTCTATCCAATGTTCAATCTGTTTGAAACTATCAAGTCAAATCTTGGCATTGATAACTATCAAACCATCATAAATTCAATCTAGCCGATATATCTACAAGTTGAATTTAGGTATTCAGGAATGTGTTGCGATGAAAGTTCGATACATAACAAAGAATAAAACCATAACAAGTATTCACCGTAAATCATATAATTTTTCATTTTGAGGTTGTAGATGTTGTAGAATCTCATTGAAATCACGAAATGATCAAAGTTAGACAACCATTGAAAACCATGAAGCACTGACAGCTGTTTTGTCCTAGGATGGAACTACTCAGTTTGCCGAGGTGATTTTAACGAGATCTCTGCTGAATTTCAGCAGACTAACATTAGCTGAGCAGCTAGTGAATATTGTGAAAAGATGCACAGTGATTTCATTCTAGTTTATGGTTCCTTAACACAACTCATCCTTGACTATATTACTAAATCTCTATAAATCTCCACAGCAGATAATGACTATGTTTTAATAACTGACTAGCCTCCACAAATTTTGATAGGAAGCCATAAAATGTGAAGTTAAATAGGTCAGTAGTTAACAGTTAGTCATTGATAGTATTGTGTTGATCACTGATTTTTGGTTCCTTAACTGGATTAAGTTGTACCAATAACTATGCCCAAATTCTTTTAGCTCTATAAAGCATGAGTTTATGGATGATAACCGCTTGGATATGATCTAACAGAAAGGAATTATTATACTCTGATTCATGATTTTCAATAGTCAGCCGGTTCAAATAGTAATGAAACTAATTTTCTCCCTTCAATTCTTATTAGAAATTTACGTAGACTCAGAATTAATTCTAAGAATAATGGAACCGATTCCTACATGTCTAATAAACTAATACAATGAAACAAAACCCAATAAAACCTAGCAACTGTATATTTTAATAACTTATTAAATTTGAAGATAGAAAACATTTCTGTATGTCACCTGATTGAATACTTTAACGTTTCTTTATTAGGAGAAAGATAATCTACCAATCAAACGAGTAAATATGTGTCTAGTTAATGGTAAAACTTTTGAATGTATCTGATTGAAATTAGTTTAATTAATTTTAAGAGAAAGAGAAACTCTTTAGGTATCTGACTGCTACCAAGCTTATATGGAGTGATTTATTAATGAAAAATAATTATATGTAGTTGAGATCATGAGTCAATTGAAGCTAGATAACCATGGAAAACCTTAAAGCACTGGATGGCCGGCTCAGTGGTCTAGTGGTTAAGTGCTCGCGTGCGAGACTGATTGGTTGTGGGTTCGAATCTCGCGAGAACGGACCGTAGATGCGCACTGCTGAGGAGTCCCATAATAGGACAAAACGGCCGTCCAGTGTTTGCGGGTTTCCCATGATGGTCTAGCTTCAATTGACTCAAGATCTCAACTATATAAAATTACTAAAATCTCCACAAAACCCCCTTCTCATAAAAATAATTATGTCAATATACAAGGTATCGAATAAGAAAAAGAGAATTCAGCGAAGAAAATTTTCTTTTCGACGAAATCATTTACTTAAGCTGTACATTCGTATATATAGTGATATGGAAAATATATGTCTATAGGAGGCTAGAAAAGATTGCATTATAAATGGATTCGACAATAAATAACAAATGAGGTGGCGTACTAATCAAGGGGTAAGGAAGAAAATAATTTATGGGTCAGATAGTCTAATTGACAGATATGAAGAAAAGCGCCAAACACAAAGGTCATAATAATAGACTGATTAGTACGTAACCTCATTTGTTATTTATTGTCGAATGAATTTACAATGCAATCTTTCCTAGCCTCTTGTAAATATATATTTTCCATATAACTATATATACGGAAATGCTGAATACATTATATCTAGCATAACAGTAATAGTTGAAAGCTCAGTCAATCTCCACAAAACCCTTCTGATAATAACAGTAATAATAATATGTCGATTAAGAACTATGATTCATGTACAAAGGGTAGACATAAAATGAACTTTCGCTATGATTGCTTATAATAGGGATTTGAACTAACTAGTATCATAATGAATCAGAAGTTGAATGTACCTTATTAAGCATACAGTTCGAATTACTTTGATGTGGAATAGGCAAACTAAGTGTCCTTTTATATAAGAACTATCGTCTAAATTAGAGCGAATAGTTTCACAGTATTTGAGCGCCGTGTTGATGTAAGACATTAATTAGGAATAATATATTTGTAAAATCTCAGCAAATTAATTTGTAGTAAATCCATTGTTTCGCCTGGCAATCTGGTCCAAGCTTTTTCAAGTGTTCTTTTATTAATTGTTTATAAACTGATATTAAGAGTAGAATGGCTATTTCTTTTTCATGTGTTATTCAATATTTGCCAAATGGATATTTATGATGTTCTTTATGCTTCGAATTAAAAAAAAAGCCTATATATTTAAACTACATTGATTATATAATCAAATGCCTGTAGACTAATAGCTGTAGAATGTGAATGCGTTCTGTGTGAAGTAAGTATTGGAGATATCGAGATCGACAATGAAACCTTTGTGATTAAACCATCAAGCTCAAAGAATAGAATACGACTAAAAGGTGTTTATAAGCCCGTAATTGAATAAGAATAAAGAGAATTCAGCGAAGGAAATTTTCTTTTCGAAGAAATCATTTACTTAAGCTGTACATTCGTATTTATAGTTATATTTATGTCTATAAAAGGATAGGAAAGGTTGCATCATAAATTGGTTTGAGACTCTTATTATGATGCAATCTTTTCTACCCTTCTATAGACATATATTATTCATATAACTATAAATACGAATGTACAACTTAAGTAAATGATTTTGTCAAAAACTGCTGAGGAGTCCCATAATAGGACGAAACGGCCGTCCAGTGCTTCCAGGTTTACGATGGTGGTCTAGCTTCAATTGACTCATGATTTCAACTGTGAAAAAGAAAATTCTCTTTATTTTTATTCAGTGACACAATGGGTTATTTTAATTATCTGAAGGCCGTAATTACTTGCATTTTCATTACTTTGTCGAATATGTATCTTGCTAAGCTTAATATAGGCCCCAGCATACACAAGGGTAAAACAAAGATCCTCAAATGCAACACTGAGAACACCAACCCAATCACACTTGATGAAGAAACTCTGGAAGATATAGAAACTTTCACATATCTGGAAAGCACCGTCGATAGACAACTAAGATCTGATGCAGATGTGGAGGTAAAGATTGTCAAAGCATGGAAGCGTTCTTACAATTAAAGAACATATAGATCTCAAAGCAACTGTCAGCCAATATCAGAGTCACAATCTTCAATACGAACGTCAAGACAGTTCTACTACAAGGAGTTGAAACTTCGAAAACTACCACAACAATCATCAAAATGATACAAGTATTTATAAACAGCCGTCAACGCAAAATACTCAATATCCATTGGCCGTATACTTTCAGAAACAGCCTACTTTGGGTGAGGACAAACCAGCTTCCAGCTGACGAGTCCCATGTAGGACGAAACGCGTGTCCTGCATTCCACTGCTAGCCACTATCCATCTTTGCTTATAATGTACGTGAATTAAGGCAATATCGAGGCAATACGTACAGTATGCTCATATGGCCACCAAGAGGGTGACCAGTTGCAGTCCTGAACATCAATGGTAAGGTTCAAACAAACTATACCAAGTGTATTCGTTCATTCATTTATAATAATTATCAATAACTCAACTTACGATATTTGATCCAGTCACATTGTTTAAATCCGACATAGTAAATTTATCAAATGTATAACACTAGCAATTAAGAACGTTTTAAATATTAAAAAAAAGAAAAAAACTTTTCAGATTTTCTTATTGCTTTCCAATCACACACACTTAAAGTAGCACCAGATTAACTGACCTATCATTTGGATTGGTTAATGAAATATTGATCCATTTACTCTAATAATAATAATAATAATAATAATAATAATAACACATGCTTATTGTGTTACGGAAACCAATAATATAAGTAATAATGAATAGTGAAGGAAAGAAACTTCACCACCAGTTCTTCTTATGTTTTATAAAGAAAAATTAGTTTAAACCCATTGAATAACATTGAATAATCTACATCAACTTGTACTTCTTTTGTTGAAGATTATGGTAATCGGTAAGTATATAGTACTATTATTCTTAAGATATGATAAAATGTATATTGTATTTATGATTTGATAAACATAATTAACTATCTTTTAAATGCTGGAATTTTTTTAGCAGCAACAGAGAATAGTATACAAAAACTTGTTATCAATTTCTATCAGTCGATACAACAGGTATTGATTCGTGAATTAGTTAATTGTAAAATAAAACTAGATTGATTTAGTAACCTTAGGTTCTGTGGATTAAAATCGTTATTAATCATTCGATTGTGTACATTTGGTATCTTCTTGTAAGATTGTAAATTTGAGTGTATTTGATCTGCATGTCAATATTATTATATATGGGGTTTTTGAGTCTGTTAATGTCTGTATGTTTCATCACTGGTATAGCGGCCTGCTTGAACATCTGGGCTACCTATTCCTAACATCTAGATATCTCAACAAATTATCTAATTTTGTTGGTTTTAATACATCATTATGACTATTAATCGCATAACCTATTCAGGTGCGTTTCTGAAAAGTGTACAACCTTCCGCTGTACAAGTTACAAAAGGCCTAATCAGAGATATTGTGGTTGCTGATAATATGCAGCGAAAAGAATGTACATTACTCAGATGTCGATTGGCTGAACCGCTAACTTCTAACTGGTGATCACCAAATATTTAACGTCAGGATCAACGAAGGAGTAAGAAACAGAAACCTGTTGAAATACTTTATGCTGAGAATTCTATATTGTACCAAAAATATAATATTGAATAAAGCTAATAATAATAATGCAGGTAATGACTCTTACTGACTAATTGCTTATATGTGATAACCAAGGACCATTTTAAGTCACATAGGGTCAAGTTGGAGCAAAAAAGACCATTGCAAAGAAGATTTTTTGGCTCTTCAAAATCACGTCTTCAATCAACTTCGAAAATCACATCATAATTAGACAAAAATACAATCATTTATATAATTTTTATACAATAATATCACATATAAGGGATGATACATGGAATTACTGTAGAAGCACAGTGTGATTATAGTTCACGTGAACTGATACAGGGAATATAACTCCCATACAGAACATAAGTTCATACTTGTCAGGCTGGCCAGGATTCCTATTCAATTGATACAAGAAATATTAAGGTCAATAATGTCATCCTTATATCCTGTTACATCAATATGGTATTTTATTTGTTTTTTACAAATTAATTTACTTTCGATCTAGTTTCATTAAGTTTATTTACTCACTAACATTTATATCTTTAACTTCACCTTTTTATCATGTTAATCTCTACTCATTGTATATTGGCATGAGCTGTAACTTTTTCGATCGATGATAATGCGTTCTAGGTTCTAGATTGTTTTTACACAGATCTTGAGGATACTAGATCCCCAAAATTGACTTGGTAAACGTTTTATTTTCATAATTGTATTTTGGGAATTTGAATTTCTTGTTTTGCGTTAAAAACGCCTGCTTTTGCCTTCAGATTGTATTTCCCATTTGGAAGGACCCTAAATGTTATTGATTCCTCGTCTCTTTTAATGTACTATTTTACGACATTTCTCAAGGACATTGTTATGCCATATATATGCTCCAGTTGTAATTGTTGTTGTCCGTGCTTGTAGCTGCTTGTGGAATATAATTCTTATCAGAATCTGGACTTCTCCCTTTACTTAGCGGGGCTGGGACGTATCGGAATAATTTAGGTGTTTTGTCACTATGTCTCTGAGTCGTCATTCCGTTCGCCAATTTAGCTGATCTCTTGATCTGTGTAAATACAGCAATGGATGACTAAACATATCTAAACTGGGCTTCTACATATTATATCTGTTATTCTTATCCAGTAAAATCTATATTTACAATATCAATAACTCATCAAGTAGTTTGTCATAATGGTTAAGAGTATTTAGGACTATCACTTTTTATATGAAGAACTTATAAAGGGTATTTTAATAAAATAAAGCCATTTACCATTGATGAGATATAAAAAATTAGATGCTGATATGAAGTGTCACTGCAAGAATAAACAACATTACTTAATTTTACTCTGATTATTAGAATAGAGATGAAATGACTCAAGGAAGTCTAAACTACTAGTTCCAAAAAATCATTTCCGAAAATTGTATTATGGCAGTAACATTGTAGTGAACAAAACACTGGTTGGGGACAATCGAATGTATTTAACCAAAGATTACAGACTATCTCAGTAAATTCTGATAACCAAACAATGAACAGTCAATTTGCAAATTAACAACCAATTGTTTCAATCTTCACTGTTTCTTCTCTAATTCCATTGCTCATGCATTTTCCAAACGATTGCGCTTCATTTCAATTCTTTCTTCATCGGTCTTCTGCGAAAATACATTCTATGTCTCATCAACACCATATACTACTTATATAGATATAAGTAGACCACACCACAACATTACTTAATATGTTTTCATATTTCTTCTATAAATCAAATCATTTGTCTCGATTTTATGAAAATAACATTTTAAAATTCAGCCTTTCTTTATTCAGGGATGTGTATCAAACAACATCATATTTATTTTATTTAAATACATAAATATTGGTACAAAGGGGAACCAGATACATATGCGCAACACAAATCTCATTTGATTTGTGTAAGGGCTGTGATACTGTCCACGTGACCAAACCGAAACAGGTTGTTTTCTTAGGGGGCCACACCCGGATACTTTGACCTAAACGTTTGATCCACAAGGCAGTGGAGCATCGTGAGGAGATGCAGTCCCATGGTAGCCGTTGACCAACAATAGGTTCATACACCATTTATTACTTCAGATTCCTGGAGCCCATGTACACCATTGGTTTGGAATCAGGGTTTTCCAACTCCCCTAGGTGGACTCTTCGTGTCCACCAACCTGATTAAAGCACCGGACATCCGCTTTTCGTTCTCTCAGTAAACAACAGTAATGCCACGAGAAGGCAGTGAGTAGGACTTCCCTATCAGAGGCTATATACTTATGACCATATGAGAGCATTTGAAGAGGGAGAGCGGACTCTCCCCACTCTCCGCCGTACCAGGGCATTTGGGGCCTATTTAACATAAATTATATAATCTTGATGTTTGGTCAAAAGTGTATTCTTATTATCATAGAAGGTATATGGGGAATTATGTCTAATTGATGATAGTAAAATATGATTTGTTGATTGATTGATTGTCATCTTAGAACAAAGAATGACAATTCACAGATCTAAGATGTTAAACATATTCTAGAGGATAAACTGAATAGTTATCACTAAGTTTTATTCGAAAAATGTAAGGTATGAACTCACAAGGAAAATATGATAGGTAAGTTATATATTTTATTGGCCCTATATATATATCCAGTTAGACAGGACGAATGGTCGTTATCGAATGATCGCTGTCGAAATATGCATCCTGGCTACCCTCGTATATAATCATCGACTTTGATGCCGTTAGTGAATAACAGAATTAAATAAGTCAATCACGAGAATATATCTTGAATAAGTGTATTTAATACAATTTTTGATCTAGACAAACGATCAAAGAAAATAAAAGGAAGAGAAGAGAACGAAGCGAAATGACGCACAATGGAGAGAGTATGTAATCCAACTCGTCTTAATTAAGCGTGACTCGATATTTATAGTCAGATAAAGATAAGTTACAGACATGTAATGAATAGGATAAGAAACATACACATATACTTTTACATATTAACAGTTAATGTTGATAAGCGAATAATTAACAAGTTCAAAATGTAATTCAAGATGAATGAATAGATTTGCCTGTCAGGAAGCTAGAAAAAGTTATGTGAGCTTGACGTAGGACCAGCCACTACAATATATATATACGGAAATCTTTATGAAGATTACAAACCCAAGGCTAAATAACTTAAATTTATAGTAACTATGATTAATAGTTAATGAACGCATAAAACCGATTGCTTTATGGAAATTCAAAAATTACATAGCTAATGAAATCAGATAGTAATACCGATAAGTTCAATGATGATTTACCGGTAACTTTTATCTATCCAACAATGAATAATAATAAAACATTACTAATATTACATCATTTATTCATTTCTATAATATTGTGAATGATTCTTTGAGTATAGAATATCATCTTAGTATATTGAACGTTTTTTGTTGTTGTTGTTGTTGTTGAATATTATTGAAGTTGCTGATTATGCATAGAATGCAAGTACATTCACTCGAATTAAAGAATCGTTTCTACAAACATTTCACTTCAGTTCAATATTAAATTTGATTTAATACTTTACTTAACTCGTATTCAAGTATAATGAGTAATTAATCCTTAACTTATTCAGTTTTAATTACTCAACCATAATTCATGTAGAATCAATAAAGAGATATATGAATTTACTTATTATTCAACTTTCTCTTCATGTTAAGTGTAGGTGTTAATTATTATCTCTCTAATTAGACAAAATATTGGTTTTGAAATAAATCACTCAAGCAGAGAGAAGAGAAAGAGAGGAAGAAAGAGAAAGAGAGAGAGGAAGGTAGGGAGAAAAGAAAGTATACAGCTGAAAAAGTTTTCGACACAACAATTCCGCACTTTTGTAACCGACATCTTAATGTTAAATTCACTTGGTATTGTTTGTTTGAATCTTCACATCGATTTTGTTAGGACTACAACTGGTCAGTCTCTAATTGACATATGTGCATACTGTGTGTATTGCCTCAATATACCTTAATTCACAAGCATGGTTAGCAGAGATGGGTAGTGGCTAGCAGTGGAATCCAGTTTGACGCGCGTTTCGTCCTATTTGGGACTCGTCAGCTGGATGTACCTGCATCTCAGAGTTGATGTTCACTCTGGGACTCGAACCCAGTACCCTCGCTTCAAACGCCATAGCGTTATCCACTCGACCACTGAGTCCTGACAGCCACTTGCTTGTGGGATAGGGTGAAGTTTAAATTCACTTGGTATTGTTTGTTTGAATCTTCCTATCGATTTTGTTAGGACTGCAACTGGTCAGTCTCTGCTAAACATGCTTGTGAATTAAGTTATATCGAGGCAATACGCACAGAATGCACATATGTCAATTAGAGACTGACCAGTTGCAGTCCTAACAAAATCGATATGAAGATTCAAACAAACAATACCAAATGAATTTAATATCATGATTTGTCTAAATTTTTAAAATCCTTTTTCTATTCACTTGATTAAATATTAATAATATTTCATTATTTTTGTGAAATTACATCTTCAGTACTTATCCTACCATTAATAAACAAGACTGACGAATGACTGACAACTCCATTCTTGTTTATTATCTCGATAAACACGACTCATTTCAATCATCCATAACAACGGCTATCATTCACTGGGATTTAATTGACATTCTTCTATTTTTTGAAATAAATATAATATGCTCATTATGTTTACCATTATGCTAACTAGTATTAGTGTTTATTATTACTGTGATTATTATTATTATCACGAATAATAATAATAACAATACCATTGAACAATAAGAAGCAATTTAAATGCTTTAACCCATCTATTTATACCTCAGTCATATTCCCTTTTATAGTCATTCATTTAATTTAGACCATTATGACCATTTAATCTTACTTCGTTTTACATACGTTATTTCCCTCTATTTAGTTGATGCAAACCGTTGAAAAAAAGTTGACTTTTATAAAATAAGTCATACAGAAATTACTCTAAAGAATTAGTTACTAATATCATATTTACTGTTTCTTTTGTCAATCATTTTTCTGGTCACTAATTATATGAATTCATTATGTATTGTTTGTTTAAATCTTCCCATTGATGTTTAGGACTTAGATGTAATCCTAAACATCAATGGGGAGTTTCAAACAACCAATACATAATGAATTAAAACTTCATCCGATTGCACAAGGTAGTGACTATCGGAAATCAGTAGCTAAATGGATAATGTGAAGGTGTTTGAAGCAAACTGTAGTGGATTCGAGTCTTCGAGTGAACATCAACACGAATGCAGGTACATCCATTCAATGAGTCTCAAACAGGACGAAACGCTCTGTCTGGATCTAACTGCTAGCCACCATCCATCATTAATAATATGATTACTAAATATTACATAATTGGAAAAATCTATTTCCTGTTCATAAATTATTTGTTATAGAAATATGTCCGACATTATATACTTAAAAATTTTCAATAAGAGCACATTCACTTAGTATTGTTTGTTTGAATCTTCCCATTGATGTTTAGGACTGCAACTGGTCAGTCTCCTATTGGCATATGCGCATACTGTGCGAATTGCCTCGATATAGGCTTATTTCAAAAGCACTGTTAGCAAAGATTGATAGTGGCTTGCAGTGGAATCGAAAACATGAGTCTAGTTCTATTTGGGACTCGTCAGCTGGATGTACCTGCATCTCAGAGTTGATGTTCACTCTGGAACTCCAACCCAGTACCTTTCTCTTCAAACGCCATAGCGTTATCCACTCGACCACTGAGTCCTGATAGTCACTTGCTTGTGCAATGGGGTGAAGTTTTAAATTCACTTGGTATTGTTTGTTTGAATCTTCCCATTGATGGGTTCGAGTCCCAGAGTGAACATCAACTCTGAGATGCAGGTACATCCGGCTGACGAGTCCCAAACAGGACGAAACGTGCATCCTGGATTTCACTGCTAGCCACTATCCATCTTTGCTTTCAATAAGAATAGCTTTAACGAAACAATTAATCACCATTCTATTTTATTTTAGCATAAATATATATTATAGAAGTTACATAACTTATAGTGAATAGTCAAAAATTAAAAACTTATTTTTGTTCAAAATCAAATTAAGTACTTATTTCAATCTAATCACTTGACATAGTTAACAATTATGTTTTAACTGAATCATACAACTGCGCATAACTTATACTGAATATTGATTTTCATTATTATAAGCATCTTTTATTATGAAACTATAAACTTATGGCTTAGTTTCTTACCCAAACAGAATGGAACAAAACGTTTCACCAACCATATATATATTGACGGAGTGATTAATTACTAAAACAGTACTAATGAGTTCGGAGTCGACATCACTCTCTCGTTAATCGATCACTCTTACTTGTCTATCGAGACTTATTGATAAGTATCTTCAATCCATCTATATTGTTTGTTAGTTTAGACATTTTAAATATGAAGCAATAGTTTAGTTCTTATATTTTGGGGGTCTTTTATATTTCTGTTCAGATTAGATCTCCAACAATTACTAATTAGGCATGATTGAGATTTCTTCCAATATGAATAGGAACTAATGCGAACTCGATAGCACAATTATTGATACACACAACATTGTAACCATTATTCTCAAAACGATCAAACCTAAGGAGAAGATAGGATTGCGAAAAGAATGACGTAAAGTAGAAAAAATTATATCTACCAACAACATATGACTTTAAGGAACAAAAAATTGGCAAACTAAAGTTGTTAACAATCAATCACAAAACACCAAAGGTCACGCAAAAATTAGGGAACATTTTATAACAGTTATTCTTTCCTGGAAGAACTAATATTTACTAACAAAGATTTGATAACCTGTGATCTTCTTAACATGATCATTTGTACATTTCACAAATAACCTTTAATAAAATCCAATATCATCTGTAGAACAGCTCAAAAACTAGATGAAAATTAACACTTATCTCATTTTTAGTTTTGTAAATCATCATCTACCATACTACAAGAGATTAGATCTAACACATCCAAATCTCAGTATGAACATGAAACAACCGAAACCCAATTCATTCATGAATCAATATGAACTTGAAATGAAAATGATCACTGAATGATTATTCTATTTCAGATTTAGCTTCAAATTGCATCATTCACATTTATATCACACTAACTTCAATCTGAGAACTACAAAGAAGCATTGATAAATGAATATCTGTTTTATAGTAGGTTAGCTTTTTTTTCTTCAATAATATAAGAACATAAACACTAGTGATAATGAGATAAGGATATAAAATTGTTGTGATAGTCAATAACTACAAAAATATATATGTATTTGTATAATTAAACTAATTTTGATGGGGGGAGAACAAAATGGTTAAAAAAAACATAGTTAATATCTATTAGCAGAAGAAGAAATATTAGTCTGAAATGATTACAATGAAAATTACAAAAAAAAGTATTACATAATAGTGTACAAAATATGAGGATTAAAATAATTTTAAATAAATCAATATTACAATTACATAAGAGCGCTGATTTCATTTTATCTCACTTGAATTCATGAAGTGAATTAAAAATAGAGAGTGGGGAGGAGGGAGAAATAACAGTGATACATGGAGGAAGGGAAAAAGAAAGAGTGACTATGAGGGAAAGACAATAAAATAATTCATTATTAATTAATCAAATAGATTCCATGTTTGTTTTTTTTCAGGTGATTGTGTTCTTTTCAAATTTCTACCTCTTTTTTTCTATCTTAAAAAATGAATATTTATCTTGGTAACTAAACTTCAATTAAGAAAAGTATAAGAAAACAATTTTGATGTACAGTAGTAAAGAGTGAAGAAAGTGTACATTAATCATGATTTATTAAGGAATGCACATATTTGTAGTGTATACACAAACATACTTGGATACTATGTGTATATGTTTCTATGATTTTTATTTCAAAATTAAAAATAACAAGAAAATCAATGATGACATATACATAAATTGAAAGATCTGAAGAGATTGTAGATTATGTTGAAGACGAAGGACTTCATCTGTTATTATTATAATTCTTTGTTATTATTTCTTCTATAAAGAAGATATCTTCATTTCTTATCGAATACATGATCTACAAAACTTTCCAATTTTTAAATTTTTCCCTGTTTTCCCTGAATTATTTTTTTCTATGTCTTGTTCTTCTGTTGTACACGAATTTACTTCATCATGATCATTGGGATTATTTTCTTGAATCTCCGAATTTTCAGGATCAATTAGAGCTAAATTAAATTGATAGAGTAGGTTAATAGAGTACAAGATACAAGTAATTAAGGAATAAATCACAGATCACTTTTAAACAAACATATATGTATCTTTTAAATCAAGAACTGATCTCATATAGGCTGCCACTGAAACCTATAAGCCCTGGTTCGCCGATCCGTCTTAGTATGGGATTCCTCAGTAATAGGCATCCATGATCCTACATTTGGGAGAATGCTTAGCCTGTAAACCATTGAGCAGGCATCCAACCGTGTTAATATTTAACTTCAACCACCCCTGATATTGCGTTGCCCTTATCCATTTCCTGTGATGGATAACTGTCTCACTTCCTACATGTTTGAACTCCACTAGTCGCTTCTTGTCAAATGAACCTTATTCATTTTTATTATAAAGGAGTAAAATTTATCATATGATAACTTATAAAGTCACATTTTCATTCAAGTCATAAATAAACTTAAACCCAAGAGTAGTTTCCATCACAGTGTTATATGATATGAAAACGAATTAAAGATACAAAGGAGAACCCAACAACAATTTTGTTTTTTCTGAGTTTTCTTAGTAATATACACCTAAGACTCTGTAAACGATTGAACATAGGATCTTTATTTTGTGACGTGAAGTGCAATAATTAAATTATTAATCTGTGTTTGTATTTGATTTAAAATTTTTTTAAAAAAAACAGGAACGCAAACTAATTCATGATCACAGTCAACATCAAAACAAAGAATTAAAAAATATCCAAAATTTCTTAAATGTGAAATACTACACACTCACACAGCAGGTTATCATGGAAAAAACATTCTTGAAAAAAAAAATGCGTAGTTAACTATGACGATAAGTAATGGAATGTTTAAATTGTAGGCTAGATTCAGTTATCAATATTTGTTTGTAAAATGTATGACAGGTAACTTGAATATTTACTCGTGACTGATAATTTTGTTATATTCTTTCACTGTGGGAATTGAGTCAGAACTTTATGTGTTATTTAGAAATAACTATATTCAAAGAAATATTTTAAATAAATAGATGCAGTAGATAGATATAAGCACAAGTATGTTTTCTAATAAAGGATACTAGTAAGAGCTACATTCGTGTTTGATTTATTCTAAAAAATGACGGATAGTGGCTAACAGTAGAAACTAGGATGCGCGTTTGGTCCTATGTGGAACTCGTCAAATGAATTTACCTGCATCTCGGAGTTGATGTTCACTTCGAGACTCGAACCCACTACCATTCGCTACAAACACCATTACGTTATCCACTTAGCTACTGAGTCCTGATAACTGAGTAGCTAAGTGGATAACGTGATGGTGTTTGAAGTAAACGGTACTGGCTCCCAGTCTCAAAGTGTACATCAACTCCGAGATGAAGGAACATTCATCTGACGAGTCCCAAATAGGATGAAACGCGCGTACTAAATTCCACTGCTAGCCACTATCCATCTTCGCTTTTATTGATTGTGACTTTAGGCAATATCGAGGCAATACGCACAGTATGCACATATGTCAATCAGAGTTTAATCAATTGCAGTCTTAAACATCAAAGAAAAGTTTCAAGTAAACAATACCAAGCGAATGTTTGATTTATTACTATCATTCATTTACATAACTTATATCAAGTTATTAATAATATGCACACAGATTTCGAAGATCTGTGACTAAGGTAACCATTCGAATATTTTAGAAAATATTTTCATTACTAATATCAACAGTTGTAATATTTAATGAGCAAAACCATCTATGTGATGTATAGGTATCCTTGACAAGGTTGGACTTCATGATTTCAAATAAATTGGGCATCGGATTATAAATATATTTTTCGCTATATTCCAATGAGTAGAAAAATTGTATTCCTGACGTTTGTGACTTATTGTAAGCCAATTCTTCAGAGTAAATAAAGCTATGTATTTATTATCATCTTTGTAATCTAGAAAAAACACTTCATTTGATATATTCAGGAGATATTTCTTTCACACCGTGCCAATATGTATTTTTTTCATGCTTCACGAATATGAATGCGTAGTGTAGATTAAGTAATGATCTATAAATTGATTGATTCTCATATCATATTTCAGTATATTGTAAAGGAGACTGGGAAGTTACTTAGTTGTTTGCAAATCTACATATCAAAATTTAATAAATAAACCATCATGCCTAGTATGCTGAAACCTGTGAAAATTAGAAATCCTGTATTCCGATTTTGGATTTTAAATAAATCACGTTTGGTTTTCATCTTTACGTTGTCATTAGGATTCAATGTATATAGTCCGGAAATTAGGACTTAGAAACGATATAATTCAGCTAGGCTTTCATTTGTTTTTCAGCTGATTATAATTCTTAACGGGAAAAAAACTACAAAACTATAGAAACCTTCTTATCAAACTATCGACCATGTATGAAAATGCTTCAAAAACGCATCCTCAAAAGCATATCTCTTAAATGAAGTGGTAAATACAGACTATAAATATGGTTTGCCACAAGTACTTAGGAGGTCTTATAGTTAACTTACTCAATGTGATGTGACCACAACCATTAGGTATTTCCAATTTCTACGGTGAAATTGACTTCATACAGTCATTGGGGGTTGATATTTCATTAGAAATTTTTCCAGTCAAATGAAAGGGTACATAAGTTTTTCTATGTAGAAGCATGCGCTCTATAGTTATAGCAAACAATACTACACTTTTCATCAATAACCTATGAAATAAATCTTATTTTATTATTCTGAAAATATTTTGGTTTAGGTTTTAGATGTCACTCACTTGGATTGGTTAAAGAACAACGATGCTGAGTAAGACGAGGTGTACACAGGTATTTTATTCTCTGTAAAATAAAATTAAAAATATAAGTATAAATAGTAAGCCACATACAGAATAGTTTCATCTTGTAATGTTTCATATTTGATAAGCATATATTCTCAAGTCTACAGTGTATTTGGATACGATCATTTCTAGTTGCCAAGATCATAAAGTAAACTTGAGTGAACTTACAACATAAAATTATGTTCAACAATAGTAGATCAAAAATTAAATACTCAAATTGTTACATGTTAAATGTAGCCTTGTTAGAAATAACTTTAAACGAAAAAATTAGAATTTCTCAATACTACGTTTCATTTATTATGTTCTTATTAGTTGCTTTTGGTTCGTATATAAGCATGTCTTGAAATGTCTGATAATGACCCAATGAGAACAGCTATTTTATTTCAAAGACCAATCTTACTACTTTAATAATTTGTAAGTAGTCTGTAATTGAATAAGTTTTAGATGGAATTTTATAAAATCAATTTTTTCCTGAAATTTAGTCATAAACAACATTCAAACCTCCATCCCTAAAATCGGGTCACCTGAAAACTAGTCAAATAGTTTGTACAACTGGAATTTTTACTAATAATATTTATCATTTGAAAACAAAATAATTTGACATTTAAAAACAAGTAAATATTGAGATTCATAATGATTGGTTATCTATAATGATGTTAAGATAGTTAAAAAATTTTCGTATTTCAAAGAAATGAGAATTTTTGATTGAGATCATGAATCGATCACTGTTAGACCCCCACAGAAAACCTGGAAGCACTGGATGGGCGCTTCGTCCAAGTATGGATCTCTTCAGAAGTTGACATCCTCGATCCTGTATTCCGAATCAGAACCCAGGACCTTCAGTCTCGCGTACAAACGCATAAACTCTAGACCACTGAGTTATCATCCAATGGTATTAATGTCTAACTACAACCAATCTATGAAATTAAGCGATCATCTTCCATTGTCTGAGGTAAATACCTGTCTTTCCTGACATGAATCAGCTCGACTGACTAAGCGTTCACGTGTGGGACCGAAAATCCTGGGTTCGAAATTAGGGTGCAGGATCATGGATGCTTTAGTGTTGACAAACTTTTTATAACGAGACAAATATTAATAGTTACTTAAGATCACTGGAATGGAAATTAAGTTTATCGCAGAACATGAAAAGCTAAAGAAATTTACTAAAAACATATGAGGTAAAGCTGTGTTTTAACCCTCCGTTACACAGCATATTTCAGTATCCCAAGTAAGGAGAACAATTTTACATACTGTATTTAACGCAAAGGTTTATGCATATGGATGCTAATAGCGTCTGCATAATATTTTTTGTTAAACAAATGAGTAGGAACAGAGTTCAATCAAACAGGACGAGAAATGCAGTAATATATCTACTCTAATTATGTAGATTGATCAGGATTTACACTGAGTCTCCCTTTTATCTAAGTGGTATATTGTTCATTGTCAGCTACCAATAGTATTTATATGAGTAATACTTGACTATACATAATACAGGGATTCGTGACGGGGATTATCTCCTTTTTAAAGGGATACGTTATTCAATCACAGATTACATTTATTATACAAATTTGAGTTAAGTGAAACTAAGTTTATTTAAGTTAAAAGTCATCTATCTTGTATTTCAGTTTTGAAAAAAAAACAAATTTTGAAATCATCTGAATTTTATGATTAGGTGAAAAACAGAAAAAGAACCAATAATCACTTAGCTTTGTTTTATCGAAAATAAAACAAAATTTTTCAAATATTATAAATGTACAAGACATTTGTAACTATGACTCTTTAGCTTAAATCTAGTACTAATCTTAATCATAATAATCACAATTTTCAATAATATACCAGGGTTCTTTTAGAAAGTTAATACGTACTACATACATTACATAGTAGCTTAAAAGTTGATGAAATGGCACCTTCATTTATTTCTTTTGTAAAAAAGGACGTTAATATTTAATTCACTTTGCAAGAGAATTCATTGACTAAGCTGAATGTTTTGAACAGTCAGAATACTAGATAGTATAAGGTATATCTCTGACCAATCAACCAGTCTTCATTGTTTTAAGCGTGAAGTTCTAAGCCTTATTTATAATAGTATTAGATAATACAAATTGTTTAATCCCCTGCTTTATTTAATCAGTCAACAGTAAAACCAAGTAACATGTCTTAATCTTTAAACTGACATCTAAGTAAACAAATTTATATGTATCTAATATCTGATTACATAATGCATATATTTCTTCCTATTCATCAAACATCAAATAGGTAGCCTACAATTTCAGATTACTCATCTATTTAACTCCAAATTTTTTGGGCAGAAAAGACTGTTTCCCATAATTTTACTAAATAAAACAATTCATTTGAGTGAACTTACTTCTATAAATGTTCCCGGTGTTCTTATAATCTCTGTCATCATGATACCTGGAATGAAAAGCAAACTTGAACTGGCCATCATCCAGCCTAATATCACAGACCACTTCGGAAAGTGATATGGTTCAGGTTTGACAGCTCGCATATATGTGAGTTCTTCGTATACAATTACACTGAAGATAAACAGAACCTAAAGTATAAATATCATGGATAAAAATGAAAATCAATTGAAGCAGACAATATGACTGTTGAATTCGAAACCTGGAGAATCTTATCCGTTTGTGTGACCTATTATTATCATTTTACATGACAAATCAGGTGTATCAACTGTATGTATACAAAATACAAATGAAACTGACTCTGCTCTTCATGTTAAAAACTATCTGGACAAAACCAGACAGTAAACAAAGAGTTAACAAATGAAAGTGTTTTATCAAAAAGAATCACATTCAAATCGGTGGTTTTCTGGTTGACTAAAAAAAATCACGAAGAATCTGTAACTAATTATGCATTTGAATTTTTGTTGTAACTGACGAACAAGACGTCACTTGAGATACTGTACCTATCAATCAGTGTAAGAGTTCAAATAATGCTATCATCGTGTAGGTAGAATGCATTACTGAAAGCAATTTAAAAATGTGGTCAACTTTATACTCTTTGTTCAGAGGACCAAGAATCAAAACAGTAATAGGTTAAAGATCAACAATAGCCAATCAAGACTGATGTCTACAGGACAAGGTATGAGTCATATATAGAGAAATTTAAACACTTCACATCTACCTGGAGTTTATGCTGATGATGTCATTCAGAAGAACGATGAAAGCTCCACAACCGACTATTCAGTTCAGAGAACAAAACTCCAACAAAATCATTTACCTTAGCCACAAATCTTCTCCACCATCTCAAAATTTATTGTTATCCTCAACATCATAATCAACTATATAACTGATCTGATCCAACATCTACTTTGACTACTTATTTTAATTATGTAGATTGTCGATTTTGTAACAAATAAAAACCATTAACTTGTCTTTAGTAAAAGTCATTGATATCATATTCTCACTGTTTCCTTATAACAATTAGCATACAAACATATAAATGCACTAATGAATTTTTAACAAAATGAACAATTTCAACATCACATTGTTACATGATCTTATCACATTAAAGTCCTTAGTGATATTTTTTATTGAACCTTATACACTCTTTGATAATTTTGATTTCAGTTATTACTCTAAAGAAGTTCGACGGGTGGAACGTCGACAGTATTTATATTTCAATCGTTAAGGTCACTTCAAATATAACTTCTAGACATGAGTATTTGTTCACAAAAAGCATTCACACATATAAGGGTGAAAAGTGTTCGAAAGGTGTATTTCAACACTTACCAATGTAAACAATGGAGTAATAATGCATAGATATATACAACACAACCATTTAAGTGAAAAGCCATACATTGATTTCATATCATTTGCAAATCGTCTCCATCCTAAAAGAAAAAAAAATACATTTTGTAAAATGCTAAGAATGTATTGATGTTTTCTAATGAAAAACAGTTAGTTTTAGATTTGGTAAAAACACTCAATATTTAAAGCAATAACTATATATTCATTATATGTGAAAAAATTATATTTGAAATAGTCTCAGCGATTGAAATTTAAATAATTCCAACGTTTCGTCCAGCTAACTTGTCTGGACTTCTTCAGGGAAATAACTATATAAATAACTATATATATCTTAATCAATGCAAAACAGAATACCGAATGTAGGTCAAGTCAAACAATCAGACTGCATGTATAGGTATATTCTACAGTGTTAAATATGTTCATATAGTTCGTAGAATTGAAACTTGACAAAATTTTGAGTTAAAATTAAAGGTATAAATATGAAATATTTATTATATTTCATAGTTGAAATCATGAATCAATTGAAGCTAGACCACTATGGAAAAACTGGAAACACTAGACGTCTGTTTCCTCCTATTATGAGACTCTTCAACAGTACGCATCCACGATCCTGCCTCACGAGATTCGAACCCAGGACCTACCAGTCTATATTTATTAATAATGAAAAAGTCTGTAAATTGTATAGTAGGGATAAATAGTAATATTTTGAATAACCACAGGTCCGTCAGGTATTTTGTCTTACACTTATGTATCTGAATGAGTTCATCATGGTTGCACGGTGTATATCCGTATAACAGCCGTATTACAAATTATATTATTCGTCATACAAATTGTGTAAAATAATGGTACTTGTACTAGCTGAATTACGTCATAAAAAAGTACCCATAAGAAGTGATTCTGGCAATAACTATTACCAAATGCGCACGCGATTTATTCCAAACTTCGGAAAGACGAATTATTCTAATTCCTCAATTTATTCTCTATTCGGAGTTGTCACTCATTCATCCATAACTTTGATGATATTTTATACTTATGTATATCGTAGTATCCATATATCCATTCACTTCCCGTATTTCGTACTTGACGTATAAAAACAGAATCACCTTATTATTTCTCTAACTCAGTGTATTGCATAACTCTAGTGCTTTATACAATTATATCTTACATTTTTGTCTGACTTTTAATATAAGTATGAACGCTACATACAATTCGTTTATGATGTTTGACAGAATATAAAAAAATTCAAGTAGGATACATATTTCATTAACGTCAATTACAGAGTCAGACAACGGGGACTAAATTTTAACAAATGAAAACTGACAGAGTGATTTAGGGATTTGTAAAGATTGGATTTTCTAAATTTCCGTCAATGTTATTTGGCATATATTTATGTTTCCATTTACGTTTATGTTGAAATTTTGGGATATAATTCATAAAAAAGAAGTTGAACATCTTGTCGTAATTAATCTGGTACCCGTGCTGCTCACACTAGCTAATCAACAATCAATTTGAAAATAGATAAGAACAAGCCATGTGAAGGCTGCAAACGTGTATCACTATTGGGATTTACCAATTATACAAATTTATTAGTCTTATCCAAGTCAAAATATGATGCCTTTTAAAGTTACTACCAACCAGATAGACAATGAATATGCAAGATCATTCCTTAATAGTACTATACATCTAATAACCCTCAAACCTATTGTTATTCTCATATTTTCTGACACATTCTCAGCTGATAGCAGCTTTATCTTATAATTGTATTCGTAAGAATAAAAGATGTCTGAACTGTATAATCTTCAGGTTTTCATTTTGAAAACTTGTTAAAACTATGCCATTGACAAATACCAACACGAAGAGTAGGAAGGGGTAATTTGTTAGGTAAAGGTTTACATATGATTCAGTACGTAATTTGATGATAAACAGAATAGTCGATATTTATAACTGATACTAAAGAAAATTACTTCAACATTTTCTATGATAGAAAGTATCGATCTATTTAATAATAAACCATAGAAACACAGTGCAAATGATAAAATCCAATTATATAATACAGCACCTTTTTATCGTTGACATTTATCATTGTAAACTACTTTAAAATAGATGTTAATGTTAAACAATGTGTCATAACATGAACCAATTATCCTTTTTTATAATTTTATTTAAACACATAAATATTGATACAAGGAAGCACCAGATAAATATGCGACTCACAAATCTCATTCGATTTGTGTGAGGGCTGTGATACTGCCCAGGTGACCAGACTGAAGCAGGTGGTTTTCTTAGGGAGCCACACCCGGAGCCTTTGACCTAAAGGTCTAGTCCACAAGGCAGTGGAGCATCGTAAGGAGATGCAGTCCCGTGGTAGCCGGTGACCAACGATTGGTTCATACGCCATTCGTTCCATCAGGATCCTGGAGTCCATGTGCACTATTGGTTTGGAGTGAGGGTTTTCAAACTCCCCTAGGTGGACTTTCCGTGTCCACCAACCCGGTTAAAGCGCCGGACATTCGCTTTTCGTCCTCTCACTTTTGTGAACAACACCCCCGCCATGAGAAGGCAGTGAGTAGGACTTCCCTGTCAGAGGCTATATATTCGCGTGGCCATATGAGAGCATTTCGAGATTGAGAGCAGACTCTCCCCACTCTCGGCCGTACCATTATCTACTATATGTTAATTACTAACCAGGGATGAACATTTATTGTATTACAAAATTATATATGCATGCATACATATATACATGGATATTTTAAGGAACTATTGAAATCAATACAATTGTTGTTTCTGTTATATCCCGAAAAGATTTATGAATGGGAACTTTGAGAGCTATTTATAGACCAATATGATATGTATATTTCCTATTGTAAAATTGTTAAGTAACTTAAGTATTTATATTAATGTTCCTTTTAGTATGAACTTTATTTTGACTCATAGACTATTACTGTACGATTTACCATTCTTGAGTTATACCCAGTCTATTAATTACTGTCCCCCCTATTCACAGCCACATTTAGCCAAACTTTATACAAATGTTATTTTCCATTTTGTTGGTACGATGTGGTCAGTCTGTTTAGTATATAAACTCAGTACGTTTGAAACACAATGATTCATACCACAGAGACTGTTATTAGTGTACTGGACTTAACTGACTGGGCTAGGCAAAAAGCAGGACTGATAAGTACTCAAGACTGCTCATACGGTTTCCAAAAATCATTGCTCTGACCAATAAATTCACTGTATTCTAATTGAAACCATGAGTCAATTGAAGCTAGACCAACATGGAAAACCTGGAAGTACTAAAAGGCCGTTTCGTCCCATTGTGAAACTCCTCAGCATTGCGCATCCACGATCCCGCCTCGCGAGATTCGGTGTTAATGTCTAACTTAAACCAATCCACGTTGGATGCCGGCTCAGTGGTCTATCGGTTAAGTGCTCTGGTGCAAAACTGGTAGGTCCTGGGTTCGAATCTCGCGAGGCGGGTTCATGAATGCGCAATGCTGAGTCTCATAATAGGACGACAAGGTCATCGAGTGCTTGCAGGTTTTCCATGATGGTCTAGCTTCAATCGACTCATGGTTTCAACTATAAAAATACTAAAATGCCCACAAAATCCTCTTCTGATTGTATTCTAATTGACGGCATCGTCATGTCATATATTAAACAGGGCACGTACAAGCAATCAATATAACAGTTTCATATTCAAGCAATGCAAATACATTTACAATGCATTAATCATGACAAACTTCAAAAAAAAGCCAAATAGTAATAAATTTAATTCATCAAAATGTTTTTCCCTTATTTCAAATCTTACCATAGATATAACCAATCACGATACATTCCAAAAATGTTACACATAATATGATACGACTACCCGAATAATAATCAAATAATTGAAATATGTACATACCGCCCTATACAAAACAAAATAAGAAGAAGCCAGTAGAATAAACAGATAGTTAGATAGATAGAATACAATGAATGATCATGGAAAAATAGGTCTTTTATAAGAAAGATGAATTGAACAGAAGTAATTCATCATACGTTTGAAGTTTTTTATATACTGAGAAAATTGGTTTACTTGTAAAAATAGAAAAAAAACTTTTTTCTTATTGATTTTCTTGTTTGCTTGTTGTAAATATAGAAGAAATGAAATAAGATTAATGTGCACTAACATTATTCTAACTACCCTATATGTTGCCATTTAAGTTAACTTTTAGATTAGACTACATTTAACCTATTGGAATGTATATAGTTTTCCTTTACATATTTTCATAGTTTATATCATGGAATGATCTTAGTTAGATAATAATTAAATACCAGGGAAACACTGACAAGTTTTTTCTTGCTAATATGTTAATTTTGAAGAATCAGTATTTACAATCTCTTTGAGAATCGAACTTAGGACTTTTCATCTCGTGATGATTGCATAATATTTTTTTTAAAAAACCTAAAGAATTCATTTGGTGAAAATGAAAATTGAACTAAGATACTACTGGGTCATTATTATTTAGTAGACATTGAATGATTAGTAAATAAATTCTTCATAAATTATTGTTCTATTGTTTTTAGTTGAGGTAAACTTGCAATCAAATATTATGTTCACTGTTGTGCTATGAAGATAACTTTGGCACAGTATAGCTTATTCATATGTAAAGTTCTAGGTTATTTGTAACATATGTTAAGCTTTTTATTAAGTCAATAGTGGGATTTCTGTATGAATATCAGCTTGTATATGAAAAAATGTTGTTTGTATTAAAGCCTTAAGATTAATTGTTCTTCTTTTAAGTGTACATTTTAACTAAGAAGAGATAAACTACGTTTGCCTAATGATAAACTGTTATATCTCGAACTTAGATCCTTAGTATATTGCGTAATATTTGAGCACTCGAACTCTAGATCCCTCTCAAGTCGCGAAGTGAGAAGACAGAAGACTAGTAAGTAGGAATATTATTCCAAACAGTGTCAAATATAGTACAAAAATCTCATGTATTTATAGTTTTTGGCTGAAAGTAAATCATCATTTCGGATAGCCAATAGGCACATAAGGGGTACTTCTTATTCATTCAATCGGGAAGCTATACGTCGACAATCTAGAATGTACCCCTAGCGGTGATTGGACGGAATGTCTTCGGCTTTTTCTGGGCTTCTTGAGGCTTCCTTGAGTTTGCTAACGAGTCATCCTTACATAAACTAACTTTTTTCAACTGCTTTTTTTACTGATTCTAAAAGATTATCATTCATCGACTTGAAAGTTACTTCAATTGTAATAAAACTGAGTTTCCGGTGAACACTTTAACTTAAATTTTGGTTCATGTAACTGAGAAACATAGTTGGTTTGTTCATGTATTTAAACTTAAGTTGGTAGAAGGTAATCTACAGGAAGATTTGGACTTATATTTGATGCTACTAACTACTCATGATCATGAAATATTTGTAATTTTGAGGGAACCAATATACTACGTGGGATATTAACTCGTGTCATCAATTGTAAAAGTCAAAGGCATTGACACTGAATTATTATGGCAGTGGCTGACCGCCTGTGAGGCTGATATGTTCACATCGATTGATAACAGAACAACAACCAATGTTATACTTGTCTAACTGTTAGAGCTAACCAAACTTTATCCATTGGTTAGCTATATGGTATTAAGTGTAGATAACCCAAGACAGTATAAATATTTTTTGTTGTTAGACTATCGGGAATAATAGAAGAGAATCCATGAACCAAGGTTTTGGAATATCTGTAACTTGATTCCTTACTGATATGCGCCAAATTGTACAGTAAAATTGACATCTGGATATACCTGCATCCCAAAGTTGATGTCCCCTCTGCTAATGAAAGAAATCATTAGTTGACCAGCTAGCTAATCAGTGTATCATTTCTTTTTTAATGTCAATACGCCCATGTTTATATAGGGTATAAACTTGTTGTGAATGATTTAAAACTAACGCAACTTTTTACATGTATGAAATACACAATATTGATATAAAACTCTTCCTTCTGTAATTCACTTATAAGAATGTTTTATGAAAAAACAAACTGACATTAACCAAGTGACATATAAGAAAAAGGAATCTCTTTTTTCAGAACAAAATTAATATGTATACAATGTTTCTCATTTGTTTTTAGTAATATTGTAGTGTATACTATATTTGATTATTGCCAAATATATTCTCATTCACTACAATACTACTAACATAATACTACTATTATCGCCAATATACTATCGATACAAATAAATTACAGATTATTCAATTGAGATATCATATATAATCAATAAACCTGTATAGTTCAAATATTTTACAAAAGGTCTGCAAATATTTAAGTTGTCTGTGTATTATTATTATTATTATTATTATTATTATTATTATTATGGATGACTTAAGAAAAATACTTTAAGTAAAAAGAGAATATAATCAGAAGGGTTTTTTGTGGAGATTTCAGTATTTTTTAAAAGTTGAAATCATGAATCAATTGAAGCTAGACCAACATGGAAAACCTGCAAGCACTGGACGGCCGTTTCGTCCTATTATGGGATTCCTCAGCAGTGTGCATCCACGATTTCGCGCGCGTGACTGTTAGGTACTGGGTTCAAATCTCTTGAGGCGTGATCGTGGATCCGTACTAATAATGAGTCCCACAATAGGACGAAAAGGCCTTCGAGTGCTTGCAGGTTTTTCACAATGGTCTAGTTTCAATTGACTCATGATTTCAACCATAAAATTACTGAAATCTCCACAAACAAATTCCTTCCGATAATAATCATATCCTCACTAGTGACTGACTTCAAGAGATATTTCCTGGAGTTCTAGTGAGAAGCAGTGACCAGTGGAGTTCAACCAGGTCTGTTGTAAGATAGTAACTCACTGAAGACGATAGTGAACGGTTGCTCAATTTTGTGGATAGGTTGAAGTTAGACATTAACACTATTCGATACCGGCTCAGTGGTCTATCGGTTAGGCGCTCTGGCTCAAGACTGGTAGGTCCTGAGTTTTAATCTCGCGAGAGCGGGATCGTGGATGCGCACTGCTGGGGAGTTCCATAATAGGACAAAACGACAGTCCAGTGCTTGCAGGTTTTCTATGGTGGTCTAGCTTTAATCGACTGATGATTTGAACTTTGAAAAATAAAAAGAGATTATTTTGAAGATAATTATCATCTTAGAATTGTATATGATAGACATTTGTTGTAATCTAGAGAAGACTAGACAATTGCTTAAGCTCTACTTAATCTTTCAACATTATATGCACTGACAATATTATGAGTTACTCTTAGACTATTAAGTTTGAATTCATTATTTCTCAAATCTAAATGCAATCAATCGTTTATATTGCATCATCATCACCATCGTCATTATCAAATACCTCCGCTGACGAATTTCTTATTCCTTGTCAGACAGAACTTCACTAATTATAAATTTCTAGTTAAAAGCTTATAAAAGGTAAATAAACGTTTTTATATCCATCCTTTAATGAACTTTTTAAGTCATACTAATGAAACTTATTCGTTATTTTAACCAGAACAAAATTTCCATTGTAATAAATCCATCATCATTTTATTTCAAAGGATTTTAATCAACCTTAATGGCTTGGAATCATTGGAACGAAAGTTATGGATTGTTTTTGTTAGAAGAATAAAAAAACGTTAATAAATAGGAAAATGTAATGGTCAATGTAAACCACCATTGAATCAATTAATTAATTTCATACAATTGATTCCTTTTATGAATTTGAATAAAGCCAGGATAAACATTGATGCAGAAAAATATGAATTCATGATATTTCGTGGTTTGTCATCAGCTGCTTACAACCATATATGTATTGAAAGTTACCAATGAGGTAAGATATAATGTGAAACAATTGACGTAGATGAACGAAATGAATTAGAATTACAAAGGCTTCTATCTTGTGCATGAACGCTTAGCCACTGGACCACTGAGTCATTATCCAACGGTGTTTATGTTTAACTTCAACCATTTAACGATATTGTGCGACCGTTCACCATTGTCTTCACCGAGTAACTACCTCACAACATACATGGTTGAACTCCACTGGTCATATATATATATATATATATATATATATATATATATATATATGTTCAAGAACAGGCTAGAGGACATATGGAGTTGGAATCAGAAACATAAGAGGTGAGTGATGCATCGATCAAATGAGGTTCATAGAAAGATAAAATTGATTGTATGATAGTTTTAAGGTTATGAAGGGTTTACATATGGTTACTGGAATGAAAGATTGACAAGATGGGTTACGTAGTAATTAAAATAAGATTTGAAGAGTTTGTGTGAGTTGACAGAATTAATTTAATAAAAACATAGGGGTGAAGAGATGGTTTTGGTGTATATAAATGAGACCATATTACAAAACTCCATCAAAATCATCCACCTGAATTACGAATCTTCTCCACCATCTCAAAATTATATATATATTCTTACTAAATGCTTTGGACTATTAGACAAAGTTGAAATATGAATTTCTAAACATTTCAAAACTTAGCACAAACCTACTTTAACAGAATGATTAAATACGTATAGATATTCTAATAATACATAATAGCTATAAAATTACTTACATTAGTCACCATAAATAACCCAATACCATAAGATAGAATACATGTGGCTGCAACAAAACTAACTCGATACCATGGATTTAATATCACTTGAGGTAAGTAATCAGAGATTGCAGCAACAAAACCTTCAACTCCACCAAACTAAAATATTTAACATGAAAATAAAGACATAAAAAAGCAACTCAATGATTTATTACAAGAGTCATAAAAGTGTAATCTCAGCACACAAAAAAAATGAACCATTTATGAAGGATTATTTTATAAAATACAAAAATGAATCCTATACATGAAAACACGTCTGTAAAAGCTATAATGCAAATCTTATTCCTGGAAAAGTGATTCTTCAGGAAATCAAAAGTGGACTTTCTTCATAACCTTAGGCATTAAAATTTATAGTAGTCAATGGAAAAAAACACAGATCTATTAACAATACAGTATTTGACCTTTTGTCTTTTTTTTATCTAGTCATGTTATTTCATTGAAGCTAATTTTAAAGGAAAGATACTTTAGCAAATATACAAACTAAGATCAGAGATATTAAATAGAAATAATATATTTGTAAAATCTCAGCGAATGAATTTGAAGGAAATCCAACGTTTCGCCTGGCATTCGTTCATCAAAACATTTGAAAATATAAACATTTATTTACTGATTATTTTCTCGGATACGGGAAGATACTACAGTTTGGTGAAAGGAAAGCAGTTAGGAGTTCTATACTTGAACACCTAATCGACTGTAATCATTCTACAGATCGACAGTGATTTTAAGGTTGTTTGTATGATTCATTCAAATGTACATAGATTTCTTCGTATCCAACTCCTAAAAATAGCTGAAGCTCTTACCATCCATGAGCTAAAAAACGAGAACTATGCTTACAAAAGAAATAAGTCTTATCGTTATCGTTACCATGACCTTAATATTATTACTATCATTCTATTATTATTATTTTATTATTATTACTGAATTCCCCTTTTCATAGTTGAAAGCGTGTCTTATATTCTCATTATTTTATTCATGAATACTTATCATATCACCTTTTATTTTTGCACCTCTATGACCTTTAATGACTTTTTATTTTTGTAACAAAAAAACATTTTAATCATTATATAAATTATCAGAAGGGGTTTTGTGGAGATTTAGTATTTTTCATAGTAGAAAGCATGATTCAATTGAAGCTAGACCACCATGGAAAAACTGGAAACACTGGACGGCCGTTTCGTCCTATTATGGGACTCCTCAGCATTGATCATTATAGTTATCTTATTAAATTCACTAAATCTATTGTTATGACTCGTATTACGTAATCTGGTATTATCACCTTTCCATTACGTCATCTTGGTTATTCAATGTTCACATTTCCTCACGGAATTAGTACTTTACCAAAAAACATTTTCATATATATACGTTTGTACAGCGTTATAAGAAATTCGTTGAAAAAAAAGATCCCTTCTCTGAACATCGTGGGAATTATATGTCAGAAATGTATTCATTGTTTAATTATTCTGTCAGTTATAATGGCATGGATTTGATTATAATCATTAGTATAACTTGATAATAATGATAAATAATGTAAACAATTTAATCCAAAAAATAAAAAATAAACAAATTCACTAACCATACTATCAATTCCCAATAGGATAATCATAATAAAAAAACAAAATGACCAAATAGGACTACCAGGCATTGTTCCTAATGCTTTTGGATAAATAATAAATGCTAAACCTGGTCCTGATTCTGCAATTAAATGTATTGGAACATTAGATATATAAGACATATTGCCAAGTGTTGCAAAAATAACAAAACCAGCCAATAAACTGGTAAATGTATTTGCACCAGCGAATAAAAGACAATCTCTGAAATGTTAGCCGAAAAAAAAACAACATATGAAACAATGAAATGAAATGGTTACAATACAGAATTGTTCATTATTCTAAATCAAAATGTATTTCATACATTTTTCATTTATCGATTACGAATAGGAAATATTTTAAATGATTTATTTCTGAAATGATACTATTATGGGAAGATTCAAACAAACAATACGAAGTGAATTTAAACTTCACCCGATTGCACAGGCAAGTGGCTATCAGAACTTAGTAGCTGAGAGGATAACGCGATGACGTTTGAAGAGAAAGGTACTGAGTTCGAGTCCCAGAGTGAACATCAACTCTGAGATGCAGGTACATCCAGCTGACGAGTCCCAAATAGGACGAAATGCATGTCTTGGATTCCACTGCTAGCCACTATCCATCTTTGCTTATTATACTATTATACTTTTCCTTGATATATAATTACGTTATGAAAACAACTATTTACATGATATAATGAGCATAAATACTAGACTGTGATTCACATAATTGATATTGCTCAATCGTTTATGACATCTAATTACGACATTTTCATGTTAATATTATATATATGACTACATTATTTTATCAAATTAAGAATCTGTTTTTCTGGTTGGTGACCTGGCGTTACATATTGGTTTTCCATTAGTGATCTAGCTTCAATTGACTCATGATTTCAACTATGAAAATACTAAATCTCCACAAGAACCCCTTCTGATCATTCGAAATGTCATGTGATACAGTAGCAATTTTGAGCTGACATTTTTAACGATTAATTTTAAAAAAATAACTGTCATCTTCAACTTTTTGAAGACCAATTTGATTTTTTGACAGTATTTGCTTACTTTACTTTATTTAGTCTATTTAGTTTTCAGTGTTAAGTAACTATATTTTCATTTTTATTAATTAATCATTACCTGGTTTCTTGATTATAATAGACGATTTGTCATTCTTTACATAAACAATTTCGTCCTTGATGAGAACAGTTTATATCATAATCTTTATGGTATACTTATGGGCAATTGAAGTATACTTGTTGTTTATAACGTGAAATATAATAAAAATTAAACATTAGTCAGCTCCTTATTGAAAGCTTAAAATACTTTCAATATGAGTTAAATTAAATGAACAGTAATAAGATAAATAGGCCATTATCTGCTCAAATAATCTTTCCTTATTTAAGCGATCGTATTGGATTATAAACTATCTTAAAAAAAAAACTCCGATTTTCAATTGATAGATCTAAAACATGTACAGTTAAATTTGTTGTCCTATGACTACTCGGTTTTATGTACTGAATGTACAACTAACCATAGAGTTAAGCAAGTGTTGTGATAGGTAAAGAGTTAAGTAATGAAAAGAAATTAAGGATAATTTGATTTCTCTGGACACTTTTTTCATGAGTGAAATTCCGATAGTAGCATTTCTTTTTAAAGTAAACTGACCCAAGATAGTACTATAAGGTCTCAGTGGAATTCGTTATATTTATCGGCCACCTTTTGTTAAAGATACGCATTATTCAAGGTAGAACTGATTATGTGTTCTATATAAAGACATAATAGCTATCTAGCGCTCTCTTAGTTTTCCCGATTACTCCAACGTATGTCGATTCATAACGAAAACTACTTTGAAAAAATACAATTTACCAATGATAATCTGAATTTTCGAATTAACCTCGTATGTCAGTCTTTTTACATTGATCCATATAATATGAAAATATCTACCAACCAAAAATACTAGTTAAAAAGAACCCAGAACACTTCCACAAAACTAAGAGGATTAACAGTAATGTACATTTATATTGAACACACCTACCTAACTGAATTATGATGATAACGATTATAACTTCCCAATGCAGTCAAAGCTCCCAAACCAATGGCATAACTGAAGAAGATTTGCGTTCCAGCATCTGACCAAACCTATAAAAGAATGAAAATAAAATTATTTTTTACAAAGATGATTTACTACGCTTTCTGTAAAATAAAATTTTCTTGATTCGTATTCACAAGTCACAATAATAAATCATACATTCTACTTATCAGATATTAAGTATACTGATCTCAGCTAGATGAAAATCATGTAAACAAATGATGATTTAAAAATTGATGAAAGTAACTGTCAAATAATAAGTTAACCAAAGAGAAACTCCAGTACTCGCCTAGTTTTCATGAAAGTTAGTTCTCACCAACAAATTGTGCCTATAAACTTGACGAAACTAATCTCTTTATAGGATTCGAACCTCCTTCAACGTAGTATACAGTCTGAGATATTGCCATGTACCGATTAAGAAAGCAACTGAATTTCTGTTTGACGAAGATATTTACACTTACTGATTACTAAATAAGGATCATTTTCTTATTTATCTAGTCCTTTACTACTGACCGAATTCTATCAGTCAGGTAGCAACGGGCCACTATTCTAAGTGACTCGACATCGCGTGTTAAACTATTATGGGGTTGAAAATAGTCAATAGAATAAGCTGAGATATTACAGTCATTTTAATAGGGGATGCGCACTGCTAAGGAGTCCCACAATAGGACGAAGCGGCCGTCCAGTGCTTGCTGGTTTTCCATGGTAGTCTACCTTCAATTGACTGATGACCTCAACTATTAAAACATAAATAATTGTTGTACAATATCTAGTAATATTTTCTTTAAATTAATGTTAAGATTTTTAGTTTTACTCTTCATAGAAAATGTAATATTAGCAAAGTAAAACTGTTATGTAACACTTCTTTATTACTTTCGAATTTTGAAAGAAACGAATAACAAGAAGGAAATACATCTTTCTGCAAAAGAATTTTTAATGTCGAACAATTTTTGCTGATGTTTAGAAAGCGATTTATCACAAAACTTTCATACGACTTGTGCATTACACTTATAAGCATATAAACTCATCAGATAACTAAAAAGGTTATGGGTTGTATCCCAGATGAGGAATTGGAGTGAACTATTCATCGTGTATAGCCTCTTCGGAGTTGACACATTTGTTTATTGAAACTTATTTATAATGGTAGGAAATATGCTTCTCATACGGGTTTTTTTCTTTATTTTCTCAAATGACGTAATTTCATGTATTTCCTATGAATTCTAACCTCTAATTTCTGCACACTAGCATATATGGGTGTAAATTTAAAGTTTTTTTTTCGTATAAACATTACATTTCATAGCATCAACAATCCCGTACTTGGGTGTATGCTACCTATGCTGACAGATATAAGTAGTACGCAGCCGCAATCGGAAGTGGGACGATTGGCAGCACAAGAATGAATTGAAGAGATTAGAAAAGAAATAGTTAAGCAGTCGAATTAACAACATAATTAGAGGAATAATGGAGTAGATAAAAGAGAACACAAGGTAGATGTGCAAATGATGCATTTAATGTATGATTTTCATATTATTCTAAGGAACTGTGTAACACTGCATCCAAAATTTAATTGGTTTCCCCCAACTGAGTCTCATTCGCTACATAGTCTTCAAAAAATTTAATCAACATAGTCTACAAAAATTATAATATGACTATTTGGACTCAAAAGATTTTCACTATATGAAATATCTAATCAGAAATGAAATGAATTTACGGAAATATCTTTCGAATGAATTATTATATTTAGTATGGATTTCTTAACTTTCAACTTTCAGGAAAAGGAATTATAATTATAAATACTAAATTCTCTACAAAACACCCTCTGATCTATAATCATATGCTCACTAGTGACCGACTTCAAGAGATATTTCCTGGAGTTCTAGTGGGAAGCAGTGGCCAGTAAAGTTCTTTCAAGTCTGTTGTAGAGATATCAGCTCACTGAAGACAATTGGTGAATCGTGGATTGGTTGAAGTTAGACATTAACACCGTTGGATGACGGCTCAGTGGTCTATCGGTTAAGTGCTCTGGAGAGAGACTGGTAGGTCCTGGGTTCGGATCTCGCGAGTGCAAGATGGTGGATGCGCACTGCTGAGGAGTCCCATGATAGGATGAAACGGCCCTCCAGTGCTCGCAGGTTTTCGATGGTGGTCTAGCTTCAATTGACCCATGATTTCAACAGTGAATATAATAATTTTGGCAAACGCTCTAATAAGATCAAATGTTTAACTAACGAAAAATAGGAAACAATTTAATAACAGGACGTCTAATATATAATTAATTATTTATCTATTCCCTATGAACTTTTGTTTTAAATATCTATAAATTCATGCGGAGTACTTATCATTTGGTTCAATTAATTCAAACAGTGGATACTCACAAATTCAGAGTAATAAATATTCATGATCTAAGATTAAAGGATCAACACAATCACTAGTAAAACACAATTATGTTTTACATGAATGCATAAACACTTACTGTTTATGCATAATTTCGGTAATGTAGACAGAAAGTTCCGTAAATAGTCAAATAAATAAATAGTCAAAAAATCATCTTGAAATATTCTGAAGAAAAGTAAACAGTGTGATTTCACAATTCAAATTTATTTATTTATTTATTTAAGCACATAAATATTGGTACAAAGGGGCACCAGATACATATGCGCCTCATAAATCTCATTTGATTTGTGTCAGGGCTGTGATACTGTCCGGGTGTCCAAACCGAAGCAGATGGTTTTCTTAGGAGGCCACATTCGTAGCCTTTGACACAAAGGTCTGATCCACAAGACAGTGGAGCATCGTGAGCAGATGCAGTCCCATGATAACCGGTGACCAACGATTGATTCATACGACACTTGTTCTCTCAGGATCATGGAGCCAATGTGCACCATTGGTTTGGAATCAGGGTTTTCCAATTCCCCTAGGTGGACTCGCCGTACCCATTAACCCGGTTAAAGCACCGGACATTCGCTTTTCGTCCTGTCAACAACAGTAATTCCACGAGAAGGCAATGGGTAGGACTTGTGTGGCAGAGGCTATATATGCGTGGCCATGTGAGAGCATTTGGAGAGAGAGAACATACTCTCCCCACTCGCGGCCGTACCAGGACATTCGGCGGCTCACAATTCAAATCAATTAATAAGATGAGCAGAAAGGTTGTGATTTAAAGAACAGTGTGCTTTTCAAAAATTTAGGATTGTTTATTTAAAAAGATCATTCTGCTCTCCAAACAAATTTTCATTTGACCTTTTGTAGGATTTGTTTTTGAAATGATCAATAAACTTAGAAAAAAAAGCTAAACAACAAAATAGACAGTTTAAATAAGGAATCTACATTAGCTACAGAATTAATTGAAAAAGAGTTTTTATAAAACAGTTATTTTGTCTTCGTTTAGTACACCTCTCTAGAATGTATCCATGTTACAATACAAATTTGATAAGAATTAAAACAAGGAATACTTCATTTGATTTCAAATTGTGTAGACTCTAAACATCAATGAATAGATTAGTGAATAAGGCTTGTACTACTTTCAGACATGTTTGTTGATATGTTCATACTAAAGGAAGGTTGACCTATTTGAAATAGTTAAGTTAACACAGTATATATGAGCAAATCGAAACTTACATGAATATAGGATAAATATTATGTGTGAGGAACTGAATAAACAATAAATCGAATAAACATTGATGTTATTTAACGGACATTAGGTTGGAAGAGTAAAATTATAACCCGTGAGTAGACTGCATAGTATTAAACGTTTCTATTTCAATATGTTAAATAAATTGATCATAGTAGTAAATAAAGTATACAGATAGGTTGATGTATCACAGCTTGTTAACAAATCATCATCATAAAGGGTTTTTTTCTGTAATGTTATTGATTCTAATCAGTATATGTATATGGGAATCTGAAAATACTAATATTGTAGTGAACAAAACACAAGTGGGGACAATTGAATATATTTCATCATTACATTACAGAATATCTCATTAAAATATGACAACCATATAGTGAACAGTTAATTTGCAAAATAACAATCAATTGTCTCAATTTGACTGTTCCTTCTGCAAATATCCGCCCATAATCTCCGATTTTCATACCAACTGCGTGCCGTTCCCATTCTCTCCTTATCGATCTTCTACTGAAATACATTCAATGCCCGACCACCATATACTACTTATGTGGATATCAGTAATCCACACCACAATATATGAAAACTAGTTACAGACTGAAGAATAGTGAAAATTGAATGAAATCATCAATGAAGTTTAGACATTAAGAGAAATCTTTCGAATAAATACATCTAGCCGGTTCCTTAAATGTTTATTCTTTTAGTCTAGCTTCAAGATACTGTAAAAGTTCCTTTTCAATAAAAAAAGAATGTATTATATACAAATAATGTATTATTCTTATCTCCATGTATAGATTTTAAAAAGTTTTATTAATATATATATATATATATATATATATATATATATATATATATAACTAAAAATCTCCACAAACAACCCCCTTATCATATGCTCACTAGTGACTGGTTCCATGAGGTATTTCCTGGAGTTCTAGTGAGAGGCAGTAAGCAGTGGAGTTCAACCAGGTCTGTTGGGAGATATCAACTTATTGAAGACATTGGTGAAATGGTTGCTCAACTTCGTGGATTGGTTGAAGTTAGACATTAACACCGTTGGATGCCGGCCGGCTCAGTGGTCTGTCGGTTAAGTGCTCACGCGCTAAACCGATAGGTCGTGAGTTCGAGTCTCGTGAGGCGTGATCGTGGATGCGCATTACTGAGGAGTAGCAGAGTAGGACGAAACGGCCGTCCAATGCTTCCAGGTTTTCGATGGTGGTCTAGCTTCAATTGACTCATGATTCCAACCATATATAAAAAATGACATATATTTATCCTAAAGTATATGATCATAAAGGTTAGTGTAATATTTATAATTCTTTTTAGTCTGGTAGCTATGACTGATATCTCGAGTGACAGTCGAAGATTAATATGTAATACGCGAATTAAATGTATTTCTAAATTCTCCTTTTAAGAGCCAAGCCTGAT